TGATAGACTTTTAGCAGTGTTTAGAATAGTGCTGGCTTGTGATGCTGTGTAATAAAGGCAGTTACTTTCCAGTAGGTTTTGATTGGGTGTTACATTGTGGAGGTTTATATCAAGGTCGACATGATCATTCATCTTCTAGGTTTAAATAGTGGTTATTTATATCCTGTATTGTGCGGTGAGTTTTAATACTGATATCTGTAGTAGTGGGAAGTTTGGACAAGTATATAGCTAAAGCACTTTGGTCATATAGAGTATAGTCACTAATAAACATAATGAAGTTGACATTGTCTGTGTTGTGCTAGAATGAGCTAAAGTACAACTAAGTATAAACTAAAAACATAAAAATAAAAATTAAAAATAGCACGAGACTCTCGCTTGTAATTGCACTAAGGTCTAATATAATGAATTTGGTGTTGTCTATGTATTGAGCTAGAATGAGCTAAAGTACAACTAGGTTTAATCTAATAATATAAAAAATACAAGTTTAAAATGGCACAAGACTTTCACTTGTAATTGCACTAAGGTCTAATATAAGTTGTTAACCATTTCAGGGTCCGTCCCGTAGATCTACGGCTTTACGTTCAGGGTCCAAACCGTAGATTTACGTCATGAGCTCAGCTCACTCTGATAAACTGTGAGTGGTACATTTGGGCCTAGATATGAGAGAATACATCTATGTGGTATGTGTGCACCACATAAAACAGATCCTGCAGCACACTGTGTATAATGAGAGAAAGAAACTGAAATCATGATTTTTCGATTAAAACAGCAACTTTGCAGTGTTTTTTCGTATGTTTTTAATAGTTGTATTTGCGATTTCTTGGTCTCATTTGATAGAATGGAAGACGTATTACAGAAATAGAGATGATTTTGATTGGTTTTAGCACTGGAAATGGCTTGAAACTGAGCTCAAAGTAGCAGAAATGTTAAATTTTTGCCGATATTCAAGAGTAAACAAATGACCTCACACATCTAATACACGCCAGCTGGTGGGTCTAATATACATTCACAAATATGGTGATGATATTTATACAATTATTACAGTATTGCATAACAGTTAATCTTCTATTTTTTGGTGTGAATAAAAATTCATTATGTGAATAAAAATCAAAATGGAATTTATTTGTGAAGCCTCAAAACGTAACTAATGAACAGAAGAAATATTAGTTTAGTTCCAGGAATACCTACATTGTTTATTCTGGACCCTATTTTGAAATTGGAATATTTTGAACTTTGTGTTAAATTGGCCAAATTAACAATTTCCGATCACTTTAATTTGTAGTTGAAACAGTTGACTTGGCGATTTCTTGTGCTCAATCGATAGAATAGAAGTAATACTAGGGAAATAGCTAAGAATTTGGTTGACTGGAGTAATGTAATTGGCCTAAAATGGGAGTCAAAGTTGGCAAAATTGCCGATTCGTAAATATCGCTGACACATCAAAATTCGCGAGAGCATAATTTCGTCAATTTTCCATCAAATTTCGTACTTTTTGTTTTATTACCTTCACAAAAAGATTCTCTACCATTTCATAAGAAAAATAACAAAATTTTTTTTTGAAAATTCTTGGACACTGGGGCACCACTTCAGATTTGGGCCTTTGACCCTGAAGGGGTTAAAGTTGGAGTTGAATATACAAGCTTAAAAATTGGTGATAAAAGGTTAAGAAAAGTAAAATAAACTAGGGTGATAAAGTCTACAATAGAATAGGGCAATTATAAAAAAGTATATAATAAAATTGGATAATAAACTTTACAAATAATAAGGGCAATAATAAAAAGTTTAAAATAGATTGGGCAATAAGGTATTGGTAAAATTGGGCAAGTATAAGATTGGGTAATTAACTCAAGACTAGAATAGTGCAATAATAAGATGAAAAGTTTACAATAAAGTTGGGCACTAAAATATAAACTAAAAATGGGCAATAATAAAAAGTTTACAATAAGGTTGGGCTATAATAGAGATTTTAAAATAAAAATGGGCGATAGAGTATTTTTTAAAGTGAGGTAGAAAACTGAGGACAAGCTATGGTTAGTTTCAATTAAAATAAGATAAAACAGTGAAGCGGTAGGAAGTAAAAAAAAAGGAGAGAGATTCCATTGATATTAAACACAAGACTATGAGGTAGAATGGTCATTGAATACAACAGTGACATTCAAAAGTAGTTGGGGTATTGGAAATTTTTTGGAGGGAACAAAATTTATGGCATTATAACACTAATGGTAGACAGTGGGTATTATCTGCACCTTACTCTGATTCTGTTAGTCCAGCCTCACTTAGGAATGTTTTAAGGTCATGTTCTGTAGAGATGAAGTATCTCTTCCCAGTGGGCTGTTTCCTAACTGCGATTTTTCCATCCCTCACAAAGCACTGGTGGATTTTTTGGGCATAGCGTAATTTTCTTAGCCGATAAAGGAGGTTTTGTCTTGTTTTGGTAAGGCACTCATTGTCGTAAACATCAGTTTTCATAGAAATGGATGTTTATAGTAGGTTGTTTCTTTGTAGGCTAGTTTGGAATTTTAACAGCACTGTTTTTTTACCCGCTTTGTAGCCCAACCCAAAAATATTAACAAAAAATACATTTTATAGAGAATAATTATAGTTTTACATACAGAAAACAATGAGAAATATACAGCACTAATGAAATGGATAAATTAACATTTAAATCACTTTTACCTTTGTGGAAGAGTCTTGTTTGCTTATGGAAAATGGGGATGAGCGGAGAGGGAGGAGAGTTTGTTTGGAGAAAGGACAAAATGCTTAAATATGACACTAATATCAACCCTATGGCTTATTTATTTATCACAATTCATCTGATATGACATAATAAACAATATTAATAATATGGAAGCATGATATATACTCTAGAATGAATAAAATGTCACTACGTATGTGAGGATTGGTGGTGGTGGTGTTGTGTTTATAAGGGCCACTGACATCATAGGCTGTACATATAGTGGTGGTGATGGCAGCAGACACCACCATAAATAAGAAATACTTAAACTTGGAGGAGATGCTGGCATTAGTTTAGGGTAGTGGAAGATACGCAGGTGGCGTATCTTGTCAGTAGCCCTATGTAACTCCAACAACATTGGAGGAGTTAGTTTCGTGTCCTTTTTCTATCGCTTAACTTACTTGCTATACTGTTAATGCTACACTTTATCCCTGGCTGGTGCTATAGCCTTTATCAACTCCTGCTGCTGTAGTATCATACGTATTGTAAAATTACTGAATCACTGAAGAAGACACATTCTCCCCTCTCTTCCTTCTCCACTTTGGTACTTTGCTACGAGTTCTTTCTTGAATTTTATCATGTTTCTCACCTTCTTTACCATAGGGCTGGCACTAAGAGCTTTCTTTGGGCCCAGGGTGGCTTATTTAGCAGTCACATACAATAAACAGGCACAAAAAACAATGGATTATGAAATGTTTCATATGACATCGCAGGGTAATGTTTACTCGCCGAGAAACAATGTCACACTGACTTAGTGCGTGTCGGGGAGGCTTTGTGTGCGTGTGGACGCTCGGACATGTTCTGTACGACCAACGAAAGTAGAGGGAATTAACGAAAAAAGTCGGTGATAACTGAAAATTGCGATATCAGAGGCTAAGGAAAACAGAGGGTTCACTATAGTTATTCTCTATAAAATGTATTTTTTGTTAATATTTTTGGGTGTCTGAAATGGATTAATTGGATTTACATTATTTCTTATGGGAAATATTACTTCAGTTTTTGGCCATTTCGGATTTCGGCCAACCTTCTGGAATGGATTAATTATGAAAACCAGTGGTCTGATGTATAGGTTATTCTTTTCTTGGGGTTCCTAATGTGTGGGGAAGCACCCCCCTGGATAACTGCCATTGTTGCTTTCCCTTAAATCCAGCCCTAACCTATGTAATGTATTCTGCTGGATAATGTGGATCTATAAGATCTTAAAACTGTGTGTGTACTCCTAGTAATTTGCTGGGTGCATGTGAATAATTACATTAAATATGAGGCATTGCTATGCAGAAAAGAACAATTGCCATTAGTCAAAATCCTGGTTAGTGAAAGAATTAATTCTTTAAAATTTTCTGTTTGTGGAAATGGGTAGATAGTCTTGTGCATCCATCTGTAAGCTAGAATCAACCAGAGACAAGTCAGAATATGTAGCAAAACTTTATCGTTTTTCTCCATTTGAAGCTGGTACTTATTCTTTTCTGTCACACAGTGCCTCTTATACAAATAGGTTCGTCTGAAACTGCATTTTAATTAAGAAACATAAGACAAAGAACATTATCCAGGGAGGCAAAGAAGGGAATGTATGAGTGTATAGTGATACCAACACACTTATGTAGATGTAAAGCATGGGTTGTGAATGTTGTAGTGAGGAGGAGACTAGAGGCATGGAGATGTTGTGTCTGAGGGCAATGTGTGGTGTGAATATTATGCAGAGAATTGTTAGGTTGGAGATTAGGAGAATGTGCAGAGTTACTAAAAGTATTATCTAGAGGGCTGAGGAGAGAATATTGAGGTGGTTTGGTTATTTAGAGAGGATGGAGCAAAATAGGATGACTTGGAGGATGTATTTATCTGTAGTGGAGGGAAGGCCTGGTAGGAGTCATCCTAGGAAAGGATGAAGGGAGGGGGTAAAGGAGGTTTTGTGTGTAAGAGGCTTGGACATAGAGCAGGCATGTGCAAGCGTGTTAGATGGGAATGAGTGGAGACAAATGGTTTTTGGAACTTGACAAGCTTTTGGAGTGTGAGAAAGTTAATATTTTGTGAAGGGATTCAAGGAAACCAGTTAGCTGGACTTGACATGCAGGTAGGAAGTACAGTGCTTGCATTCTAAAGCGGAGGGGTTTGGGATATTTGCTGTTGAGTGGGATGTTTAAACTGTTACCTGCAAAACAGTGACAGTTTGAATAATGGTAAAAGTGTTTCTTTCTTGGGTCACCCTGCCTGCTTATGTCTTGAGTAATGTTTTTTATTTAGTATATTAATTTGTTAAACTTTTCAGCACATGGAGGGTGGTGAGCGACGGCTGCTAAGTACACCTCTCAGTGAGGGTAGCACCCAGGCTCTTCTCACAATGAAATTCATACAGGTATTTATAACTTACTGATACTTTTGTTACTGTTATTTTTCTGCACTTTTTGTCTTTGGTATACATGGATTTGGTTGCCATGGGTTAACACTTCATGGTTGGAATCTCTTAAAAACACCTTAAACTAATGTTTTTAATGCACTGATTCTTAATGACTGTTAATGTTAGTGATGGGATGATATCAAATTTTTGCTGATGCTGATAGTCTTTTTTTGGGCTGATACAAAAATAAGCTGATACCATTAAAATTGCCCAATACCCACTGATACTTTGGCACCCCCCTAGATAATATGTGGTATTTTCACCATTATATATAGGCAACTCAATTATTAACCCCTTAACTGTCCAAACATAGATCTACGTACGTTCTTGCCGCTAATGTTCCAAACGTAGATTTGTTTTATTTTTCCTGCCTCCAAATTTGGCATGATTGGCCTGGGATGACTGGTCAGCATACAGTGGGTCTTAACACTTGGTTTATGCAGTATTAAAAAAATCTGGGACCACTTAGTACCTTGCGGGAGCACCAGTTCAATTGAGTGCCAGCTAGAGCAAACAGTGCAGCAAACACCTGGGATTCACTGATGTCATGTAGTAAGTATTAACCTACGCATTTTAAGAGGAAAGTGGTGTTGACCCTGAGTTTAGTGGCTTTGAGATGGATGTGGCCACAAGTGTTCAAGGAAATATCAAAAACCTTGATATTAATCCATGTGCAACATTTGTGCAACACCCTTTCAATTTTGGTACCACTGGTAGAGTCATCCTGCCAGAATGTCTTATACTCTATGCCCTAAGTAAAGAGAAACAATGCTGAAATGTGCAATACATGTTTGCCTAGCTGGCTTTGTCTTCTGTCTGTCTAGATCTGTACAGTCTGTCTAGCTCTCTGTTTATCTGTCTCTGCTTATCTGTCTTTGTCTTTGCTTGTCTCTGTCTCTCTGCTTGTTTCTCTGTCTCAGAGAGGGCCACTTATGAACAAACAGGTATTACCTGAGCAAGTGTAGATATGTATTGCCAGTCATGCTTACTATGCATTATATCTACAAGCACAATATAGCATTTTGTCTGGATTTTTTGGGTTTTCCTAGGTAATTTGCACTATGTATAATTGTATTTGTGTACCTGGCCAGCCAGCTCGCTGGCCAGTGGCTGGCTTGGCTGGCTGATTGACTTTGGCTGTCTCTGTCTCTGTCTGTCTGTCTGTGTCTGTATCTTTCTCTGTCTATCTGTCTCACAGGTACACATAAATACAATTATACATAGTGTAAATTACCTTGGATAACTCAAAAAATCCAGACAAAGTACTATACTGTGCTTGTAGATATAATGCATAGTAAGCATGACTGGCAAGTAATATACTTAAACTTCCTCAGGAATCAGATGTGATGATGCACTCATGTGTAATACCTGTTCGCTTGTTGAATGGCTCTCTGAGACAGTGAGACAAGCAGAGAGACAGAAAGACATAGATAAGATTTTCTTCGGATTTTGAACCCCGGAGGGTTGGACCACCCAGGATAACCCAAGAAAGTCAGTGCGTCATCGATGACTGTCTAACTTATTTCCATTGGGGTCTTCAGTCTTGCCCCCCCCCCCCCCCCGCAGGATGCAACCCACACCAATCGACTAATACCCAGGTACCTATTTGTTGCTAGGTGAACAGGACAACGGGTGTAAGGAAACGCGTCGAAATGTTTCCACATGCCGGGAATCGAACCCAGGCCCTCCGTGTGTGAAGCAAGAGCTGTAGCCACCAGGCCACTGGGCCAGACAGACACAGACAGACATGTTTGTGTGTAACAGTGAAAACAAATCAAGCCAAGTCAGTGCATGCTCATCAAATGTCACCACTGCTGCGCTGTCAGCAGTGGAGTGACTCGTCTTACACCATGCTTCAAGGAAGCTATATTATTATTATTATTAATATTATTATTATTATTATTATTATTTATTATTAACTCATCGGCCGATTCCCACAAAGGCAGCGTGGCCCGAAAAAGAGAAACTTTCATCACCATTCACTCCATCACTGTCTTGCCAGAGGGGTGGTTTACACTACAATTATAAAACTGCAACATTAACATCCCTCTTCAGAGTTCAGACACTGTACTTCCCATCTCTAGGACTCAAAGTCCGGCCTGCCGGTTTCCCCGAATCCCTTCGTAAATGTTACTTTGCTCACACTCCAACAGCACGTCAAGTGTTAAAAACCATTTGTCTCCATTCACTCTTATCAAATACACTCACCCATGCTTGCTGGAAGTCCAAGCCCCTCGCACACAAAACCTCCTTTACCCCCTCCCTCCAACCCTTCCTAGGCCAACCCCTACCCTGCCTTCCCTCCACTACAGATTTATACACTCTTGGAGTCCTTCTGTTTTGTTCCATTCTCTACATGTCTGAACCACCTTAACAACCCCTCCTCAGCCCTGTGGATAATAGTTTTGGCAATACCACACCTCCTAATTTCCAAAGTACGAATTCTCTGCATTATATTCACACCACACATTGCCCTCAGACATGACATCTCCACTGCCTCCAGCCTCCTCCTCAATGCAACATTCATCACCCATGCTTCACACCCATACAAGAGTGATGGTACAACTATATTCTCACACATTCCCTTCTTCGCTTCCACGGACAAAGTTCTTCATCTTCACAGACTCTGAAGTGCACCACTCGCCCTTTTCCCCCTCATCATTTCTGTGATTCACCTCATCCTTCATAGACCCATCTGCTGACACGTTGACTCCTAAATATCTGAATACATTCACCTCCTCCATATTCTCTCCCTCCAATCTGATATCCAATCATTTGCCACCTAATCTTTTTGTTATCCTCATCACCTTACTCCTTCCTATATTCACTTTTAATTTTCTTCTTTTACATACCCTACCAAGTTCATCCACCAACCTCTGCAACTTCTCTTCAGAATCTCCCAAATGCACAGTGTCATCAGCAAAGAGAAACTGAGAAACCTCCCACTTCATGTTTGATTCTGTATCTTTTAACTCCACATCTCTTGCCAAGACCCTCGCATTCACTTCTCTTACAACCCCATCTATAAATATAGTGGATCCTCTACTTATGAGTTTAATTCGTTCCATGACCTTGCTCGCAACTGGATTTGCTGGTTTGCAGACTCAATTTTCCTCATTTAAATTAATTGAAATGGAATTCATTCCAGTGGAATTCCAGGCATGAGAAAATGCTTTAATAATTTCCCTAATATCAACTCTACAGCTTATTTATCTATCACAATTCATGTAATATGTCATAATAAACAATATTAATAACATAGAAACATGATATATACACTAGAATGAATAAAATACATGTCATTAAGTATGTGGCTAGTGGTGGTGACAGCAGCCATTGTTGTTGGGGTTTTTAGGGCCACCACAGCGGCCATTCCTGCTCCTGACTACATGTGGAGAGAACCCAGGATAACCCAGAAAAGTCAGACAGAGTGACTTACAAGTGAATTAAAATGCTTCAATTAATTGCTACACTCTTAATGCTACATTTTGCCACTGCTGCTTCATGATGTCTGCCACTGCTGCTTCATGATGTCTGCCACTGCTGCTTCATGTTGTTTGCCATTGCTACCTCATGTTGTCTGCCACTGCTGCTTCATGTTGTCTGCCACTGCTGCTTCATGTTGTTTGCCATTGCTACCTCATGTTGTCTGCCACTGCTGCTTCATGTTGTCTGCCACTGCTGCTTCATGTTGTCTGCCACTGCTACCTCATGTTGTCTGCCACTGCTACCTCATGGTGTCTGCCACTGCTACCTCATGTTGTCTGCCACTGCTACCTCATGTTGTCTGCCACTGCTACCTCATGTTGTCTGCCACTGCTACCTCATATTGTCTGCCACTGCTGCTTCATGTTGTCTGCCACTGCTGCTTCATGTTAAATAACAAAAAAAGGCACAATACCGTGACTGGAACGATACACAAATAACCCACACATAAAAGAAAGAAGCTTACGACGACGTTTCGGTCCGACTTGGACCATTGACAAAGTCACACTGACTTTGTCAATGGTCCAAATTGGACCGAAACTTCGTCGTAAGCTTCTCTTTTATGTGCGGGTTATTTGTGTATGCTTCATGTTGTCTGCCACTGCTGTTTCATGTTGTCTGCCACTGCTGTTTCATGTTGTCTGCCACTGCTGTTTCATGTTGTCTGCCACTGCTGCTTCATGATGTCTGCCACTGCTGCTTCATGTTGTCTGTCACTGCTGCTTCATGTTGTCTGCCACTGCTGCTTCATGTTGTCTGCCACTGCTGCTTCATGTTGTCTGTCACTGCTGCTTCATGTTGTCTGCCGCTGCTGCTTCATGTTGTCTGTCACTGCTGCTTCATGTTGTCTGTCACTGCTGCTTCATGTTGTCTGCCGCTGCTGCTTCATGTTGTCTGTCACTGCTGCTTCATGTTGTCTGTCACTGCTGCTTCATGTTGTCTGCCGCTGCTGCTTCATGTTGTCTGCCACTGCTGCTTCATGTTGTCTGTCACTGCTGCTTCATGTTGTCTGTCACTGCTGCTTCATGTTGTCTGTCACTGCTGCTTCATGTTGTCTGTCACTGCTGCTTCATGTTGTCTGCCGCTGCTGCTTCATGTTGTCTGCCACTGCTGCTTCATGTTGTCTGTCACTGCTGCTTCATGTTGTCTGTCACTGCTGCTTCATGTTGTCTGCCGCTGCTGCTTCATGTTGTCTGCCACTGCTGCTTCATGTTGTCTGTCACTGCTGCTTCATGTTGTCTGCCGCTGCTGCTTCATGTTGTCTGTCACTGCTGCTTCATGTTGTCTGTCACTGCTACCTCATGTTGTCTGTCACTGCTGCTTCATGTTGTCTGCCGCTGCTGCTTCATGTTGTCTGCCACTGCTGCTTCATGTTGTCTGCCACTGCTACCTCATGTTGTCTGCCACTGCTGCTTCATGTCTGCCTCTGCTGCTTCATGTTGTCTGTCACTGCTGCTTCATGTTGTCTGTCACTGCTGCTTCATGTTGTCTGCCGCTGCTGCTTC